ACTAAATGCAAGAGAGAAATACTGGAAATCGTGATATATTTTGAAGACCTTTGAGACGTGTTTGATTGGAGCCCTGAACACACTCTCTCAACAGAACACCGACGCAAGGCATTTGTTTGCTCATCAGTTTCAACCTTTCCCCACCACACGCTAATATTTAAGTGGATGTTTCAGATTTGACTGAGACTTACCCAACTGCATTAAGCACAGATGAATCATTGGGATTGAATCTGTACAGCTGCAGACGAATCGCTTACTCTAACTTGCCGAATAGAATTGTGTCACACGCTACACAGCGGCGAGACTTACTGAGCACAGGCACATTTGAATGGGTGAGTTGTTCACTCAACAGCTTTGACTCGTACAGAAATATAAGCCAACACCCTCAAAAAATTACAACACGACAATCTAGCATTATCGTTCGGAAGAGACCTAAGTAATGCAAGTTAATTTAGATCACACTTTTGTGTATACGAAGTCTGCAGTACCCAGTAAAAAGTGTTTTGACCCTGGACCTTATGTAAATTTCTCAGACGTCTTGTTTGCATTTATCTACGTTGAGATTTACATCTTAATTTTGACAATTCGAATGGCACGTTTATTCCCACTGTACGCATTTAGATGGATTCCAGCTAGGTCAGTTCAATTAGAAAAATATAGACGCACACTTCGCATATGCTAGAATCAAACAGTAAAGCATACTTCTGTTCAGACTAATACTTAAACTTCAGCGCTTGTGTAAGCGTGGTAAAAACTACTCCGTTCATGCCACACTAACTAGTGCATGAGTGAACACATGAATATATATTCGAACGAAAATGACTTGAGCAACCTATCCTAACTTCCGAACGGGTGACACTGACTGCTGGGTTGCCGTTAATGATATACAACCAGTGCCGTCTAAGTTTATTTGATTGCTTCCATATACTGAAGGGTCCCGAAGCAACTGCGCAATTGCGACGAAGTTAATATTTTGTCATGTTCATGAATTACATAAATAAATGTCGTCCGCATACTAAAAACTCCGAACATAACAACGACCGTCGAGAATTTGGACCCAGGCCAACTGAATGCTTGCGCAGACAGAAAACACCATTTACTCAAAGGAATGAGATGGATTAATTCTTTCGTCTTCACGTATTGCAATTTTAGTGTCCTTTTTCACTTGTGGTTAATGTAAACTGAACAGCACTCACAATTGATTGTAACTTTTAGTCCCATAGACACCTCAGTCAACTCTTCTCGAAAAGAAATACTACACTTGAGCTTCGTTCTTGTTACTGCTCGCCAATGGTGCGTATCATTGCCACAGCCGGATCAAAACTCTATCAAAGATTTCATGATACAACCACGTTTTCTTTTGAAAAGAGCTCAAACAAGAACGAACTTCGAGTATAGTGTTTCTTTTCTAGAGGGGGTGGTTGAAAATCTTGTGACAATGCGAAAACCGCTTGCGGCTGATATTCAAATTATATAAGCCAAGATCATCCACTATACATCGATGATCAATATACAGCTTGAAAAGTTGAGCCATTCCTGTGATTTCAACTTGAAGAAGACTCCTAATCGCTGGATTGCCGACTGGAGATAACAGGACAGCTACTGTGCTTCCTACCAAGCAATCACTGGATAACTAAGTCGTGCCTAATTAGAGGTTAATGGCACAAGGGCCAAAATGGTGTCCCATAAAAGCATGGTCGGAGTTCTAATACCGGTCGTGACAAAGATACGTACTATTGACGAGCTCTAGTAAGAGCGAGGTTCGAGCCTGAATGTGATTGAAGGTTTCGCACACACTGAGCACCCAGGCTTGTTTTCCACCATAACCTTATTGAGTTAGTGTAATAAATCAACTACCAGACGATCCCAACCACACCACAAAAGCAATGAAACAACTGATAAAAACGCTTTGCAGCACCGTAATGGATTGGCCAAACAATGACATCATTACACCTGTCCTCTGGTCACAATGCTTTTATTGATTAGTGGATCAACTGTTTTAATCTATGTGATATTCCTTTAAGGTCGGTGATAATCCCCCGTGGATTGGCTACATGCTGTTCTCACAATTTGCCCAACAGACAGTTGCTGAGATTTTCTTCAGGCCCCTCATAGTTTCCATCCAACAATTCATCATGTCAGCTACTGTGCCTGTAATATTCCCTAATCTGTTCGAACATAACCTACACCAACATACGCGTAAGCGGTGAAAAATGCACGCGGTGCAATTAATATGCGTCGGTCATGTGATTTAAAAACTCTTCCGGGTAGATATATTTTGAGTTGAATGCATGGGTATACAACTAGACTATCCGCTAGTTCTAAATGAATGATTCAGCCAGTTTATTCATTAAACCATACGCGACAGCGAGTCAGGTACATGCCATCGAAGCACGCACGACAAATCCCATATGTAAGTCAACGCCTGAAAGGCACGCAGTGCCCTAGTTCGTGCACATCGGAGACTGAGCAAACAGCAAGCTTGATTGGACCTCTATTATAAAAAGCGACCAGATCTGGCATTTGCTTTGAGTTGACGAGTTGTGTTCTTCATCCTTATCCTCTCTGGAATGCAGTAACATACACTCGTATACTGAAATGCTTCTTGTATTACATTTTACATATCTTTCTTCTCAGTTTAGATCTTGTCATTGCAGTCTCTCTCTGTTTATTTTCCGAGAGATAAGGGTTTCCTTTTCCTGCTAGCCATTCAATTGGCTAACCAGCATTGGCCGGCTGGACACAAAGGCCTCACTCACACACCTACTGGTCTTATTCCTTCGGGTTTACACCGGATACGTGGTGTGTGAGTGGAACCACAAGTGGTGCAGCGCAAGCCACTTGGGGTGATGGTTTGAAGCGCAGGCGTCCTCTGGCTTCGGTCACTGACAGGCTAATCCGTTTCGGATGTCCGCCAACCGTGTGTGCGACATGAACGGTTTCATCTTCGCCACGATTACACAATATTTGATTAATCGTAGCGGGAAGATGTAATAGAGCTGACTTCACTATTTGGTGTAAACCCAAGATGACATTTGAAACAGTGCCGAATGTGGAAGTGATTTGGCGGTTGAAGCTTGCAACCTGAATCCATTAGAGAACTGTTCATTGAACAACGTATATAGAAAAGCAGTCCATGTAGCTGAAAAGTTTTAGCCAATAAAACCCAGGCGAATGGAACGATATGAAGCTGTACCGGATTTTAACCAACGCACAGTAAAGAAAAAACAGTAATAAAATCTAGTACATATTAGGTAACAAGAAGACAAAGATTAAAAAGCACACGTTGCGGAAGAACAACCAGTTCCACAAAATAGGGGAAAAAATCAGATATACTCCCAAAGAAAAGCGGAAAAAACACAAAAATCGAACCTGTAAAAGACGAAGAGAATTCGCCCATTGGGACAAGCACGCTGATAAGGAACAAATAAATAAGACAGATGAACGTTTACATTGATGAAACACGACAACCGGGCCGTCCCGTGTGATCTAGCCGTTAGGATTCCTGGCTCTCACCCAGGCGGTTCGGGTTCGACTCCCGGCGCGGAAGGGTAGGTGTCGATCACCCGGCGAACAATCACCCACGATTTTGCATGCAATCGATTCGCCTCACATTCCCGCGTTACCATTAGCATCGACTCTTTCATACTTGATGGTACTAGTCAGAAGACATGAAATTTGACGTGTAATCTCCAGTTCGCGCTCAGTCCGACATAAGACGGACATATTCATCGATTTGACGGAAATCTGAATGGGCCCATCTTATCAGACACAAACGCGTAAAATGATTGAGGAATACCAGCCACTGCAGAATGCACGGTACAGATGTGTAGTGATAACAGCTTTACACAAGGGTAGTTGATGAGTTGAATTCGCCAGCGAAGTGATCGCGTTGAGGCAGCAAAAGTAGACTCCCGAGTCGGGAGTCGAACAAGGGTCGCTCGGGTGAGTCAGAATTACTGACCAACCAAAACCACGCGAGACGCTGGCTACTAAAAACAGAATAGTTATTATGCATTCTAATCAACCCAGCCAATCGGAGATGGATTGGTCTAATGCAACCATTGATTATGCATTTACCACCAACATCTGGACGCACAACCGATTGCTTCAGAATAGATTCAACCTAGTCTCTAACTTTCGATAGCTTTTAGCAGCAGATTTGGTCGAGCGTAGTATCACAATTAATGGGGCGTCACTGCTTGACGTGTGAAGTGTAGGTTGATATTTACAGCTCACGATAAGCAAACGCTCGCACGTGGTGTACTGAAATTCGTGGGCTGTTAGCCTGGCCTCATAAGTCGGCTGATGTAGCACCTCTCGCCTTTGGCGATGGTGTTTCTGTGGATGATTCTAATGGAAGCGAAGCCAAAATATTTCGCAGCTGGTTGTTATCGAAATTACGAACTTAGCCGTACTACTTATAACTGAAAAAGTAGATTGTTTACCGGGTGCATACTCTAGAAATGATCATGATCGAACTTGATTGTGGATTCAGTAAGAAGCGGTATATCTTGAGCAATGCTTGAGGCAGTGAAGTGAGTGAACACATCTCGAGTGAAACAACCAGATTTTGCTGAGACCAATGAAATATCATTCCATCGGTTTTTTGTTCGACGATGTTCTGCTGAGACTATAAGCAACCCTGTTTGCTGGGGATCTTCGGGAAATGAGTGTTATAATTGAATCCTACTGAGCACGAACGCAAATAACTGATACGAACAACGATGAACGAATAACGCGATTAGAAACCCCTTCCGATTGGCCCCAACACTGTGAACGACAAGAACCAATGAGAACACGGACAAAGCAGACTCCGGATAAGCAATGTATTTAGCCACCAGACGCTTTGCGAATTTACATGAGAAACTGGTCTGTATTTATAGAAAATCCTTGACCTTGTGGCGGCGTGAGCGCGCGAAGAAATATTTGAATCCCACGCCGATGCATATCTCAGTAACGGCTTGCGATATCTGATTATCATACTCCAGCGAGATTTTATGGGTCCTAACGAAACTGGATTAAACGAGCTATACGCGTGTATACGACTATCTGACCAGCGGCGTCGTGAGAATGTGCAATTGCAGATCAACTGACATTCAAACGTTTATCAGTTAATTTAAAATGGCTGTCTTAAAGGAACCACTATCAGGCATAAAACGTTGAGACAAGAAGTATGTAACGAAAATGAAAACCACGGACATCGCCGCACCCGTCATAGATCAAATGTAGAATGAAATCACTTGAAGACTCGCAATTTCTGTGGACAAAACAAAATTATGCACTTTCGGATTATCCGATGTAAGCTATTCCCCAATAAACATCGTCACTTCCCGACAACTGTTGTCAAAGTTAAAATCTGACAAAGAAACGTAGCTGAACAAACAGTCGTGTTAAGAATCAAAAACAAGTGACGATTACATTGAAATAAGAATTTTCAGCAGGCACAACAAAGTGCCTTGATCAAAACATCTGACTGGTGTACAGGGACTTACGTCATCGAAAGGATAACATACTAGGAAGTCGAGTCGTTTTATCCAACAGGCCAAGTAAATCATGAAATGAAACGATGAAAGAAGTGATAGCCTATTGTGCAAATATTCATTCAAAAACCCACCCACTACGTATAAAAATCAGAACGGAAACGACAAAAACTATTCAAAAAACAAAGTCAAAAAAACTAAACATATAATAGAAAAATGTCCAATCATAGAAAAACATTTTTCCCACAGAATTAGAAGTCTAGCGAATAGATTTAATCACAGCCAAATGAACGTGCTCAAAAAGGGACACGAAGAGTTTACCAGAACCCATAGTGTGTAACAAACCCATTCATGAATTGAAAGAAAGAATACGAGTAACAACCATTAATAAAAGATGAGGAAATTGGAATGAAAAGGCACTAAGGACAGGCAATTCGACCTCGCCGTGGAACCCGCCCAAAGGATGGATGAAACTAGTAGAACTGAATGAACAAATCCATGGAACCATCTCGCCATTGAGTCTGTGCCGGATAGTGGACGCCACAGACGGGACAAAAGTTGAAAAGGCTGCACCATGAACCAACACATTGTTCACATAGCATGTGCTACAAGGCAAATAAATAAATATGCCACGTAATAAGAATAACGAAAGAACAGAACAGAGTTGCGAATATTACACACATCATGTCTAAAGCAGGATGATGATTTAAGCAGAAACAATTAGCTTGGTTTGCATGTAAGGCGTGTTACAGCTAGAGAGGAAACCCGTACGATGGACGCAACACACAACGTGTTCAATTTTTTTTTAGAGCTGTACAGTTAGGGAGTTCGTTCAGGCAGTATTTGTACATTTTCAGTCATACTAAAGTTTGATAACCTTGACGAAACTAACCCAAGATATGATTAAATGTTCTGGTGAATAACTGCATCATAGGCAAAACAACCTACTCGTAAAAGCTAATGAATAACAAAATAAAGATGACTTTTTTGCTTGTATAAGACAAAAAATCGTAACTCGTTATGCATACGACAGTTTAATAGTATAACACCTTTTTCAATATGTGAAATGTTGTCAGTGCAATGTCCACGATGGTGCGACAAACAAGCTTTTTTTAATAAACGGATTGTTAGACACGAGACTCAAGCCGTTTGACTTCATTCGCATTGAATTTGGCGCGGATTATCTGTAACTAGTTGACAGGTGAGTTCATTATGTACGTTCCTCCAAGCGACGTTATGCGGATGGAACCTGTGAAGTGTGCTCATTAGACATAAGGGAGGAAGTTTTCAAAGAGAAAACATCCAGCATTCTGCGCCTGTTACGTTGAAACATAGCTGTTGAATAAGCCTAGCAGCGACTTCAATGTAGCAATCGCAGGCATCTTTCTGCTGAGTGATAGCAGATCGCCGATATCAACCACAGGCCGATCGTGCACAGCAAAAACAATCAACTTGTCTGCCAAACGATCACGGAATTTGCACCCGAAGCACAGCGCTTGGTTAGGAAGACGTCGCAAACGTAGAGATGGTCACTCAAACAGATGTCACCCACGATAGATGAGAATTAGGATAACAGCATGAAAAGTGTAACTGAGCATTGCTGATTAGTTGGATACAAACACACGACCACAAATTGTTCAGCAGTTTTATTTCCTTAAAACATATTATTATCATTTTTGAGACCAACATGCTGGTAGCTAATTAAGAATAAAACAGGCGTTTGTATTTCTGAAGGTTATTGAAAAAAAGTGGGAGAGCAATCACATCATCATCATCATCATATCAGCCATGAGCCTGACCAAAAGGTACTGTGGCTCGGGCTGCCGCTCACCTCAACAGTGACGTGGAATATCCTAGAAGAAAACGTTACTAAGAAGGTTGAAAATTAATAGAAGTCTAAGCAAAAGAACTAGAAATGGTATGGATGCAGGTACGCCATTGACTGCGACACACCGCCATCTCGGATAGCGTCTCCAACCAGCGGTAATTGAAGTTTGATTCACGAACGACATCCATTCCAGGGCAGGCGAACACTGATTGCTACCATTTACTCAGTGGAGCAGTCAGGGTTCTCATATTTCGTGACCACGTTGTCGCTTGACCACCACGTGGTTTCACCCAACTGTTGGTGGTCTCAGTATATAACGCCCGGTACGGTAAACGCTCAGCTGGCATGCGGAGTACGTGACCTAACCATCGCAGGCTGTGCAACGTGAGTAGTTGACCAATTGATCGCGCATCCCGAGCGTTCCGGAATACGCGCCGGCGAACTGCCGCATTGCTCACGCGATCAGTCCACTTAATGTGGGCTATTTGGCGGAGACAGCGATGGCCAAATGCAGCAAGCTTGTTGA